CAGTCTCAGTTTTCACCAAAGCATTAAGGTACAGCTGAGTTCAACAGCTTTTTGCATCAATTACATCAATGAAATGACTTCTCTGAGACTTTAATCTCTGCAGTTGTTTTGGCATTATAAAGAGAGAGCAGAAAGCTAATGAAAATGATAAACACTTCCAAAAAAAGCAGAAGAGTTGCCTGCCATTCACAAAGAATCTTGTTAAAGACTCCACTTCTTCCTGAATCTATTTTTTTGTCCATAAATATTCCCTTAGGCATTACTGGGGTTATATGTGTGATAAAGTTGTCCTCGTGGCTTAAATGTTTGTAGGATCAGGACGGACTTTAAGCTGGTCTAATGCATAAGGTGCATAGGTGCATAATACAGGATTACTGAAAGGATTTCTGTGATGGTGCAGAGAGTTTTATTTCAGAAAGAGGCAGTAGAGAACCTCAGTACTCAACTTGCTCTTATCTGGAAACTTCAGCCTTTCTAGAAGCCTTTCTAGAGATAAGACCATCTATGAGCAAGAGGGAGAACACACAAGTACACCGCTTTCATTAGCAATGGTAGCTCACTCATTACTCCTGTCCCATTCTTTCCCCATGCAGGAGGTCACCCTTGCTTGCCTTTCCTCTCTCCCGGCAATTCCTATCTTTTTACTGCAAATAATTTTCCTTAAACAAAAACCTCATCTTTTTCAGCACAGACAACAATCCTGTTATAAAGCATTATCATATCAATGAGACCAACGACTTTCCCAAGAGGTATTACTTGGCAGAAAAACATGTATTTGACTGTATCCCTGACCTCATCAACTACCATCAGCACAACGCAGCAGGTGAGTGAAGGCCGACGCTGACCCAGGGAGATGCTGTCATGCAGTCAGGTGACTGTTTTGAGTGAAAATAAGGCCCTCAGGCCTTCCGCCCTTACACCAAAATACTAAATGGCACCTCATTTTCTTTCACTTACCTTGGCACTTGGACAGTAGGAAATAAGTTGAAACTAATTAGAATTGGCTTCCTTTAAGTAGGCAGGAAATCACAGTCTGAATAGAGGTTCAGCTGCCCTCAAGTGGAGCTGAGAACTCAATACAATAAATCTGATTCCAATATCCAGTCTCCCTTTTAGGGTAATGACAATCGCACTACCCATGGCAGTGACAATAACTGGAACCCATCTTTTACTCTGTTATTCAGGTCTTGTTACTCGTTTGCGGTATGCTGTCTGTTCCTGGAGAAAAAAGGCCCCAATCACTGCAGGGCTGAGCTATGGTATGCAGTTACTCTTTTTACATATGGGGCTCATATGTCTCTCTGGTTAGCTGGATGATGCTAAATATTCATGGTACTGGTGAATATTAATGTCACTATCCCAGCAGTACATAGATTTTTTCAAGTATTTACATGGAACCATTCCCTAAATTATCATTTCTGTCGTTACTGTTACTATTGATGACTGAATAAGCTGATCCTGCAGCATCCTGAATGGCTTGAGGGAAATGCTAAGCACTCTTGGGTCTCATTAAAGTCAGTAATAGATACAGGAAAGAAAGCTAAACAAAGATGGTGGGAGCAAGAGCCCAGCTCAGCCTGACAAAAGCTGGAAGATGCTTGCATCAGTGTATAATTGGCTGCAGAATTTGACTGGTATTGTCTTTATTGTGATTTTTGGAGACATCCAGGAACTCAAAAGCATGCTGTGCTTAATAGTTCACATATACATGGTAGAAACAATCCTCCCTGAAGAACTGAATAGACAATACAAATGGGGGAAGAAACAGGAAGGTTGTATCCCTCTTCCTGAGCATGAATTGGAGCATGGACTGGTTAAATGAGCAGCTAATGGTCAGACAGACAATATGAAGCAGAACCAGAAAGTCTCGCTTTGTTTCAATGCTTAACCCAGGAGAGCTTTTTCTTTGACATTTTACTGACAGATACTTATCCTTTTCCCCTTATGATCAACAGGAAAATTGGTCATAAATCCCTGTGAGCTCACCTTTGTACAGGAAATTGGCAGCGGGCAGTTTGGGGTGGTCCACCTTGGTTATTTGCTGGACAAGACAAAGGTAGCCATAAAGACCATTCGTGAAGGGGCAATGTCTGAAGAAGACTTCATCGAAGAAGCTAAACTGATGATGTGAGTAGTAGCTTCACCAATAAAGTAGGTCTCTGTAGGATTCACAAGATTGAACTGTGATAATGATCCAGAATCTGAGCAGAGAATTTAATCCTGGATTATCTACTGTTTATCTATCAAGTATAATGAAAGACCTGTGAGTTCTGGTGATTACAAGGGAGGACAATTCAAGTGTAGATGGATTACTGTGTGCACAAGCCTATAAGTATCCAGAATTTCTCCTTCTTTCCAGATCTTTTCTGGAAGGTGGAATTTCTTGGTGGTGTGTTCTAGAGATAGAAGTGGGTTTGTCAAAAATAATTGGATGAAGAAATTTCCTAAAAGTTGAGGCAAATGTTAATTAAAAGCTGTACTTAGTAACATTTTATGTTTTGCACAATTTAAAATATTTCTCTTCTGTTTTATTAATCGTATTTGCTTGTTTTTCATTTCTCTCTCTTCAAAATGGCAATAAATGGATTTTTGTCTGATTGGATTATTTTCTGTGCAGAAAAATCTTCTGGTGACTATTACCATTCAGACAGGATGATATTTAGTGCCAAACTAGATTGAAATTAGATTTGGTCTACACTTTTTCTTTATTTTGCCTTTGTGGTTGGCCTCTGCACAGAGAGGAGTGCAGCAGGATAACAAAGCAGTTGTCATAAAAGAAACTTATTGTAAGAACAGAAAGACGGAGCTGATTTCAGTCTGCTTTCTCCACCTTCCTTCCACTTCCTACAGGAAACTGTCTCATCCCAAACTAGTCCAGCTTTATGGCGTGTGCTTTGAGAAATCTCCGATATGCCTGGTGTTTGAGTTTATGGAGCATGGCTGCTTGTCGGATTACCTCAGGAGCCAGCGGGGCAGCTTTGCTAAAGAAACCCTCCTGGGCATGTGCCAAGATGTGTGTGAAGGAATGGCTTATCTGGAACAAAATTCAGTCATCCACAGAGACCTGGTAGGTCTACCCCACATGGGCTTGTTCTCTTCTCCAGCTGGGGTTTTCCCTGTGCTTTCTCCCTACCCTAATTTCAATTTTCAGACTTTTCCTGCCTATATATTGATAAAGGATCCAGTATCTCCCTTTGTTGCAGAAGCAACAGCAATGCTAAAGGAAAAAAATAATACATCCCCTGGAGTGCCCACTAATCTATTTCCTTTCATTGCGTTGGGGAAAGAAGAAAGGAGGACCTAAAGTTCATCTTTTTTCTGAGTGGGCTCTTTCTTCCTGAAGGCCCCAGCTCCCACAAGTTTCAGGGATCAGCTTCTCTTCACGCCTGAAGTCAGTAAAGATGCCAGAAACACCAAAGCCTCCAGCAGGTGCTGTTCTTACACATGCACAAACATGCATTGCTCCTACAATCCTTTTAATTAAGTGGAGTTTCTAATGGGCAAACACAGATCTCTGCAATACATAATTCATCGCTTTTTGCAAATTGGGTAGCTACTGTCTCGTGTTCAGTCAAACTGTGTCAGTCACTGATGCCATCTCCTTACGGGAGCAAGGACTGTGTGTAATTGTGGATATTTTAGATTCTTCATCTGCCCTTTGTGGACAAGGGCCTGCAGGTGAGACTCATGGCTGGATGCTTTCCTGGCAACAGGAACACACTGAGCCTAAAATGTACAGACAGCATGAGAACTTCAAGTTCTCGTGCTCTTCATGTGGCATAGTATTATGTTTATTCTCCTATTTTTAAGCACTATTGGGTCTATGAAAAGAAAGGTGATAGAATGACTGTAATAGTCTTTCAGCACTGCCCCTTTGCCCTTATGTCATCTTGCAGGCTGCTCGGAACTGCCTGGTGGGGGAATCGCACGTGGTCAAAGTGTCGGACTTTGGGATGTCAAGGTAACGATGCAGAGACTGCACACACTTCCTGCAAGGCAGTAACCCGGACTGGGGTTTACTCAGCATGCTCCCTTCTATTCCTTTTCCAGGTTTGTCCTTGATGATCAGTATACCAGCTCCACAGGTACCAAGTTTCCAGTCAAATGGTCTGCACCCGAGGTTTTCTCTTACAGCAACTATAGCACCAAATCCGATGTATGGTCATTTGGTAAGAATCTCTAGTTAAAACATAAAAAAATCAAGAAACACAGAAAAGCCAAGGGGTTCAGTCTTTAGGTGATCTCCCAAACTGTACATTTACTGGGTTCCAACAGTGTCTTAGATAAAGAAGCCCAAATCTTTCAAGTGAAAGGGAGGAAATAATCGCAAAATAACAGAAATAACAGTGAACTATTTAGATACTTTGAAATACTGCAGATACTGTTAATTTAATCTATTGGACCTATGCAGTATTATACAAAAACAAATAGCACTTTCTGCTTCATGCTGATATGGAAGAAGTGTCCAAGAAAAGGTTGGAGAATCACAGGTTTCTTTATATAGGTTACATAAGGAAAGGAAAGAAGAGGCATTTAGGTAGTCCATCTCCCTGCACGTCAGTCCCAGGCAGTAAAGCTTTGTTCATACCCACTGTAGTTCAAAATTTGCTCTGCTGACTCTATTTATCTTTCATCAGTCTGAAAATATTATTTCACTGCCCCCACTTTTTCTCACCTAATTTCCTGCTGCCTTTTGCATTATTTCATGATTTGCCTCTGTTCTTTGGTCTCCCTTCTGGACCCGCATAGATAAGAAAGCTGTTGTATATTTTTCCCCAAAGTCATTGGCACTATAGATAACAAAGGCTATTCCCTGGCCTGTTGATCTGGCGTGCTGATGTATCTGGCCCATCTCCAGCCAGCCTGCAAATAACGCTGCTGCAGAATGAATCATTGCAGTGTGCTGTGCACAGCACACAGTCAATGGGGCGCCACTCAGCTCCGGGCCTAGCAGTAAATAATGCAGGATTATAACCTTTGCTAGCCTGTGCATGTGAATTTTGTGCTTCCCTCTCACTTTACCGTGCTCCACTGTGCTCACTAAGCTTATGCATTTTTGTAGCAGATTATTAGCATTGCAGTGGGAGCTGGGCACTCGGCTCCTTTGAGAACCCAATCCAGACATGCATCAGAGAGCACAATTTCTCTATGCCCTCTGGCAGGCTGAGAAGACTGTCAGCACTTATCACATAATAACAAGGGACAACATTAGCCAGTGGAGTTAGCTATGACACCTTACAGGAAAGTGGCTGTGACACAGAATGAAACGCTACTTTGGTAAGAATGTTTATCTGTTTCACAAATGCTAAATTGGCCTGTACAGTAATGTAAGTGATACTATTCATTAGGTCTCCTTTAAGACCCAAATGCCTGCAAAATGCAGGTTGTTTGATTTTCAGTCAAGCCAAGCTGGATGAAGCTGGCACTCTCCAGTGGCAGGGGTGAACGAAGCACTTGAGGTTTGTTTGCACTGGTCAGGCCTTCCTTGTGAAATTTGCAGGCACTCGTGTTGTACCTCTGTGTGACTGATTATCTCCCCATTCAGTGGGGTTTGCATAAGAGGATTCCCCTGTCATGTCATGGTCTCACGGCTCTGGGAATCTTTCTGCTCTGCTGCTCTGCAGCCCATTCATCTCTTCTGCCAGGGCTGAAATCCTGCTGTGCCCATGAGACAGAACCGGGTGTGAGAAGTTCCCAGTGCTAGAAATCTGCACACTGGGGGAATACGACTGTTTTCCTTATTCTACAATACAGCCAATATATCTGATGAAGAGCAGTAGTCTCTATGCATCTTCCTATTTAAAAATTTAGCCAAAAGGTGGCCATTATTTAGCAAAGCTGACTGTGGAGTTACACACCTTTATTTCAGATCATTCTGTCTATTTGCCTGTGTCTCTCTTCTAATATGACAATGAACACAGTTTACCAAGATAGTCATATTGTTAGCGATGAAACCAGACCCATTATCAGCACCAATACCTTGTATTCATGCTGTTCTAGAAGCAAAAATAGATAGACATCAGTGACAAAAAAGAGAGGTCTCTTTTCCTCATTACACATCTGGATGGAGATCATTCACTAGTGTTGCCTCTTCTTCACATGGGAAGAAGAGAGGGAGCCTCTGGGAGAAGATGAACAGCACTGATTCTGACACATGAGGCTCTTAGACTTCATTTGGCTCAGTGGGGGAAAGAAGCTCCTGTTGTGCTAGAATCTGCCATGAGGCAGAGAGAAGCCAAACTTGGACTGACCCAGTCTGGGACTTCCACACAGTTCGGTGCTGGACAGAGATTTTCACTGGCATCGTCTGACTGTATTGATGTGCGAGGGCCTGTTTTTTCAGACATGCTCTCAGAATCAGAGTGAAAAAGCTTTTCCAAGGAACAGACATCAACAGCGAGCTGCAGAGAAGAGTGTGGAAAATGGCTGTGGGCCTGTTGAGGATTTTATTGTTGCTTTTTTGTTATTATTTCATTGTTTGTTTGCTTTAGGAGTGCTGATGTGGGAGGTCTTCAGTGAAGGTAAAATCCCCTATGAGAATCGCACCAATGGAGAAGTGGTGGAAGAAATTAATGCAGGTTTCCGGCTCTACAAACCCAAGTTGGCCTCCAAGGCCATTTATGAGGTCATGAGCCACTGTTGGAGCATGGTTAGTATTTTAATGCCAAAGTCCTGATTCGCAAAGACAAGAGCTCTCTGCCCCATATCTTTTAGGGGAAGAGGGCGTACCTTTCATATGTGGTCACAAGATAAAATCCTGGGGGTGAGGCAGTTTTCAGCTTTCATCTGAGATAGCAAGCTGAATTTATGTTCTTTGCCTTTTATTTAAGCTGCTGTTTTCTATAGACTGTTTTCCTTTCTCTGAGAAGCCTATGTAGTTCACCTAACTCAAGTTAATTCAACAATTTTCTTCCTAAGAAAGCTTCATATTTGTAGGGCTCAGCTTTGATACGGATGGTGTCAATGATAGCTAACCCATTACAAGGTGCTTAATGTCTATTAGGCAAAATTCACTGCTAGTAGAAAAGAAACATTGCACACAAGAAAATCCATCCTTCCATTGGCATTTTCTCTGTAAGAGTGGATTTTATTTTTGATAATACTCAGTTTTTTCACACGGTTTTCCTTCCTAATCTTGTCATTCCTCTCAAGCTGACATTAATATTCTCTCTCTCACTCTCCCCTGCACAGAGGAAAGATGATCGGCCTTCCTTTTCTCTTCTGCTCTACCAACTGAGTGAGATCTCTGAGTTTGATCATGACATTGGCCATTAAGTGAAGCTAACAGAGTCCTGAGAGGACAGATGGTTGGATTTTCCCCACAAAAAGCATTAAGAGGAATCATCTCACCGTAGACATTTGCTGTATTCCTGGAACAGCAGGAGAGGGCAGAAGCCCTTAATTACACATTGACCAAATATACTCATGTCTTCCAAAGAGCAGACATGTAGAGACTTTTGGTTTGGCCAGGAATATGGTAACAAATCATGCAGCTATTCAGCATAGATTCCTGAACCACACAGTCCTGCAAGTCCATTTCTCATGAAAATATCATCTCAGATCTAAGATATCTAGCACTGCTATAGCAGTCTAGAGAACTCCCAAATGAAGGCTTTCCCTAGGAGGAAAAAAAAAAAAAAGAAAAAAAAAAGTCTTCAAATGAGGAGGACCAATTAGGCATTTCTGTGGCTGTCTAATTCAAAGTAGGCTGGACCTGAAAGCTCTTAACAGAAATAGACCTGGGACACAAGAGAACAGGCTGGATACAGTCATTGCATTTTTGATGTCGATATTTCAAGATGGCTTTGTTCTTCTTTTGGATGATTTTCTAAGAACTGTGGCATAAGAAGAACAGGATGCTGGTACTGTGTAAGATGAAGGGGTATGTGCATGTGAGTTTCTAAGGAAAGGAGAGAAAAAGCAATGTGTTGAAGAGTCTTGAAATACTCTCAAGTCTTATTTAGAGATTCTAATGTAAATGGGGACACTCTTGGTAGGAAAAGGTCAAAGCCAAAAGTTTTTATCATATTTTTCTTCATTCTTTCAACATCAGAAGATAAAATTACCAAGGTCTTTGGACTGAGTATGGGGTGACTCAGCAGTGCAGAGTGCTGTGGTCCAGATCCCATGATCTGATTATCTGATGTCTAGAACGCAAGGGAGCCTCCTCCTGAACTAGTGTGTTTGGAAGGAAAGAGCCAGAGTGCTCCAGAAGGATTGTCACAAGACTGAAACATTGCAGACTCTGTGCTCAGCATGCTCTCCAGTGGTAAGAAGAAATGGTTTCTCCCATTCCAACGAGCAACTGAATAATCACAAGGTAAAACCTTCTCACTGTCTTCTGGGAACAAACTGTTGAATCAAAAGAAAAAAAAAGAAAGAAAGAAAGAAAGAAAGCCCTATGTGGGGTGGACTGTCTGGGTACTTCATGCTGAGTGCTACATTATATGGCAAGAAGGTGTGGACAGTATCTCCTGGTACTTCAATTAAAATCAACATTTTTTATTGCAAGACAGAGGGTTTTTTGACATAAATGATCTCAGAAACAAAAGTACGGGTGCTAGTGTTGTGCAGAACTTGTAGATGTTTCTGCAGATGATTAAGGAAAATTGGAGAAGTGGACTGGTGCACATACGTATATATGTGTTTGCGATGCTCCTCTGTTTGGGCAAACTAGGACATGAGTAAACCTTATGTGACCGCAGTTTACAAAAACTTTGAGTTGCAACTTTCCAGCAACAGGTTTTGATGTCATTAAAGAAGCCAGGTTCAGAGATCTTTGCCAACAAAAATGGAACAAGGAAATACTGGGATATGTAATCCCATGATCTCACTTATTCTGTATCAAATTGTTTCTTCATGGAAGGAGGTTTTACTGCTGGTATTTTTCAGACCCATGGTTCTAGCCAGCTTTTGTGAGCCAGAATGTCTTTTGAGCTGTATGAATATGGGCAAGGCACTTGTTCCTGTCTTATATATCTTCCTACTTGGCTTTAATTTCACATTATTTTCTTTGTTTTACTCCTACAAACATCATCCAGACCAATTCTCCTAAGCAAAGCAAACCCTATCATTCAGACTAGATGTAGATCATACCAAACACAGGATTAGACACCTGCCTTCAGGTCAGCACTGCTGCCGAAAATATCATGATAGTCTGGACAAATAGGTGGAATATCTGCACCTATAAACAATTTTTTAATTCTCGCCTACAGTGGACATAAGCCGAGTTGCTCTTTTTACCCCGCATCCTTTTGATTTGAGTTACCCTGTTGCTATGTTCCTGTGGTGCTAAAGTTTGCATTTAGTCAGTGAGTTTTTCAGTAGCCGTATGCATGAGTCACTGCACATCTACAGCTAGAGAGGAGGACCCTTGGCCAAAGCCCCTTTTTTTCCTTTAGTCCAGGTTGCGCTTAGAGAATCCATACAACCCCTGGAGTACTGTGAATAGTTCTTTCCTATATGCAGGCACCCTCAATGTGCATCAGAAAGTCAAGTTTCTGGCATGCTACCCCTTCTGCCTGGGTAAGAACCAGGGATCTGCTAGCCCTGAGAACGCTGCTGTTAAGCAGCAGCAACATTGCTTTGCTGCGCAATGTTTTAGAAGCTATATTTATGTTCAGATGAGGTAAATGTAGTATTTATTAGGTAGTTACTGTTGCACAAGATAATATTGCTAGGACTTATGTTCAGATCTTCTTTTGTAGGAATTTCTGTGTAAACAATACATATTTTTAAAACCAATAAATTGCCTTGTCCCAACTGTGGCTTTGACTGTGCGTTAATGTATGTGTCATGGCTTTAAATTCTTTGGGTCTTTGTAAATTGTGGATAATAATATTTGAATGCTCTGAAACAATTTGCCTACTAATATTTTCAAGATACTTGAAGAATCTTAAAATGATGGTGCCGTACTGTGACAACTGCATGACACTAACACACTCTTTAACAGTCTTGTTCCATGATGGTAGTTCCCAGCACCCCTGGGAAGCAGTGGGTTTTGGTGCTGCCAGCTGCCTGAAAGCAGGTTCTGCACAGAGTGGAAAATTAAAATAATATCATAATAATCACAGAATTCTTATCACTCTTAGCCTGGCTGATAATGGGAATGAGTCAAAGCTAGGAAAAAAAAAAAAAAACGGAAAAAGAAATATTCACAACAGTTTTCACTGCCACAATTTTCTTGAATTGACCTTGTTTCACCCAAGGCCTCAGAG